CCCCAAAACCCCAAAACCCCAAAACCCCGATTTAAATATTTAAGTTAAAGATTAAGTTGCTTGTAAAAATAATTTGTAGTCAAAATCTAATAAAAAACATCAATTTTCAATAGCACCAGACCCCTAAGCCAAATTAATGGAACTTCGGGTTTTACCAACTGCCCATTCATATCGATATACTCTGCGCCAATAATTAGAATCATGATCATAGGTATTATTGCTTGTTTATACCATCTATGAATCCTAAACAGAATAATCAGAAGTCTTTCTGTAGGTGCTTGGCCTTTAAATTTCTTGTTAATCTTAAGGTTTTTAGTGGCGCTGACTCTTCATAGATACTACTTGTTGAGGCCTTTCATAAGAAATACTCATTTTCTGAGCATTTATCAGATTAATTGTAGACTCAATTTGTTGAATATTCATCTAGCTTTGAATTGGATTTTATTGCACATTCAATCTCTCAGTAGATTTGATTCTATCAAGCACTCTCTTGTTTTCATATTTAGGCTTGGGTTGAGTCTATTTACTAAAAGGCAGTTTGAAGTTTCTCTCAACTTTCTTCAAATAATTAGCTATAAGATTCTATTTTTCCCCGATTTCGTCGAAGGTGGCCTGACTATTATTTCTTGAGTAATCGATTGACTTCTGCATTTTAACTTTATATTTGGCTAGAATGACCTAACTTCTAGATTTATTCATACTTGATAATCTTGATAAACTGTTTGTTCTTATTACTTAAGGGATGAATAAGTCTTGGTTAAGATCCACTTATTGGTTCTTTCTATTAATAGGAACTAAACTATTAAGGTCTTTTTAAGAATTTCCTCTCGGAATTGCTCGCTTGACTGGTTGAATCGTATGTATTTATATTGGGCTACTTTCCATAGTTTTTTATTTTGAATCATGTTTTTCAATCTTTTGAAGTGCAGCTTACCTCTTCCTAAATTAGAAGTATGCTTGATTATAAAGTAGTCTCGGACTAAAACTTTGATTTAGTTCTCTTTAATGATAGATCTAAGATGATTTGTCTATGCTCTTATCCTATATATGAGTATTTTTCAGTTATTACTATAGAATGTGCATTCTCTTAATCTCCTAATCAGCTTTTCTCATTTAATTCATGATCATCTTCTTATCCTATTGCTTTTATATAGGTTAAACGTTTAAAGGCACCTATGTTATCTCAAATATCTCTTGCATTTACATTGACCTATCCTAATAGAGACTCTCACTATCTTCAAAGTCATTCTCAAAGTTTCCCTTATTGAAATCCATACTTCAGTTTTTTATAATAACTTATCTATTCTTTAACTCCCTGAGTCTAGTATTTTAAAAGCTAATATCTTTTTACTTTACATCTGGTGAGATTTTTTAAGATGAATTTACGTGGGTATTGTTTTAATCAGTACCTCTTCTCAAAAGAGTAATTTGATTTTTATATTGAGATAAAAATTGCATTTTATCCAGATATTTTGTCTTTCGATCTCTTTCTCTTGATAAAACTCTCTCAGTTAATAGCTATTGGTTAGAGTAAGTGTCTTTTATTATTTTCTCAGGTATTTTCAATTCATTATATTCTTAGACTATTTTAAGCTTTAATCCCTCTTATAATCTAGCATCATTTTCTTTCAATTAGCCAGCAATACTCTGTAAAGTCATCTATAATTATCTATTTCTGGTTTCTTTTGATTTTATTTAACCTTAAAACTGACTGACTATTTCTTTTTGTCCTTTTAGAAATCCAGCTCTTTTTTAGAAATGCCTAATTTATCTCTTTACTTCAAGTCTATCTTGAGTCCAGTGATGAAAAACTTTTAATGAATCCTATCTAGACAAGCCAAACTTATTAGTCTCAACTTACTACTCATCTTAACTGCTGTTTTATATCATTAAAAGTGCTTGAGATTCTGGCTGAGAGATGTTAGATAACTGGGCTCCCTCAATCTATGCATTTTTAAGGATTGATCTTTACTTAAGAGGCAAATATTTTTAATCTGTGATAACTTCCCTTTCAAATTTTTCAAAATTTTTAAGTATTTGATCCTGCATCTTTTAGTTTTTTTATTTAGGGTACTGCTTATCTCTATCTGGCCTGTATAAAATCAACTATTTAATTTGCTCTGGCTCGTCCATATTTATCATATTCTAAACTCTTCCAGCCTCACTTAGCGATCCTCTCTCAAAACCATGCAGTACATTGTTATATTCTTGGTAGAACTAAGAATTTTGGCTTGAAGAGTCGATTGACTCAGGTATTTTTTCTAGCATATTGAATTATGTTAGTATTGTTAATAGTAAATTAGTCAAAAAATAATAAACTTAATATTACACAGCTTTTTTAAAAGCATTTATTGCCCATTTTATTTATTGTAAAAATATCAAATAAATTTTCAAATCACCTCATGGGGTTTTGGGGTTTTGGGGTTTTGGGG